TGGTTGTCTACTATTAAGTAATTATTTAATATTATAATTGTTAAAACAAAAGTTTGCATTTGTTGTATTATTTTATATTTATATATTACATACATAAGAATAATATAAAGTATTGTATATAAAATTACATATATTTTTTGTGTTGTATTTTTTTCATCGGCAATAATAAAAAAAAACTAAAAGTACTTTTAGGTTTCTCAACTCAAACTACTTGAATATAATGTACTTTGAATTTAACTGTATTTTTTCGCTACTTTTTTCCCCCCATTCATGACAGTCAGTCAGTCAATCAGTCATTCAATGAGAATTGAATACTACTATCGAGAGAGAGAGAGAAAAAAAAACTGTTACCACAAATGTAATGTCCAGTCACTCATCACATTCAATGATAGAGAGAGAGAGAGAGAGAGAGAGAGAGAGAGAGAGAGAGAGAGAGAGAGAGAGAGAGAAATATTTATATATCAAACACCAAATATCAATGTTAAAGATATATAAAAGATTAAGTCATAAAAATTTCTCTTTTTTATTTTTTTTGTTTGTCGGTTATATTACAGTAGTTTTAGTTGTGTATATGAGTATTGAAAGATACCAACCAAACAACAAAAAATTGCTGTCACATACAAAATACAGTATTACACTATTAAATATATATATATAATAGTAATAGTATTAGTCCCACAAAATAATAATAATAATAATGTGACACTTAGTAAATGTGTTATCAACTTATTTTTTTGTGCAAAGAGTGCATATCATATAATGTAATATAATTTATATATATATAGTATTAGTATATATTGTATACACATATATTCACACACACACACATCCCTGTCCCCAGTAATGTATATATATACAGTACACATATATATACACACATTAATGTGTTATAAGCCTCCTATTCATGGGTTTAGTTACTGAAGTTGACAACAACAACAACATCACACAAACAGACAAAAAACTTTGAAAAAATCTTTTTTTTTTGCTTAAGATATACACAACAAAAAAAGATGAGAGAAAAAAATTTGTTTGAATCGCATATACAGTATATATATCTCGGAGCCAAATACTGTATCATTTACTCAGTAAGACTACTACTACTACTACTACTACTATTACTACACAATTATTATTTCATGCCTACTGTGTGTGTGTGTGTGTGTGTGTGTGTACTGGTATGTACTACTAAACTACCAGTGCTTTTGATTTATACATTCAATGATATTATATATATATTTCTATTTTCACATTTTACGTCAGATTTTTGCATTTTCTTTAGGGGTTTTAATACTATAAGATATATAATATATATATTCAAAATTATTTTGTTTTGTTGTTGTTTTATATGGTTGTTTAAATAAAAATAATTTATATATTCTCATATATATTATATAAATTGATATACTGTTTGTGGAGTTATATCATATATAAAAAAATAGTTTATAATATTATATAAATTAGTTTACTGTAAATGTTATATTATTATTATTATTATTATAAAGCATTAACTAATTTATAATATTATTATACACGATATAAATTTATATATATATATAAAGTAATTTTTTATTATTAATTTTATGCCAAAGTTACATAAATATAATAACAATAATTTTTATTTTTGTAAATTTTTATTATTTTCGCTAATGTGTTTTATAATATATTATATACAGTATATTCAATATATATATATATAAGATATTTTCAACTATACTATACTTTTATCAAAAAAAAAATTCACTTATGATTTATAAGCGCTTATAGTATTTATTTTCAATATTTTTTATTATTTTTACTACTACTACTACAGTATATATTTCACAAAATATTAAAAAATAATATTAAAGCAAAACTTTTTAATATCAGAAAAAATTATATAATTTTTAAAAAATGTGTGATATTATATTACATATACAGTATAGTATAATAAAATAAATTAAACTGGGTCACATATATATATATACTGTATATAATAGAGAGAGAGAGAGAGAGAGAGAGAGAGAGAAAGTTATAGATTGATCTTCAAAAATGATAATAATTGGATTAAATTTCCTTATTTTTCAAAGCCATTTGTCTGATTATTGCTTGAAAAATATGTTATATTTTATTTTTGCAAAAAATTGACGGCAATATACAGTATAAATATATATATATATATATATATATATACTAAATATAGTAGAAATAAGTGGAAATATTGAATCAAAAATTCATATATAAATTCAAGGAATAGTGAATTTATTTTTTTTTATAAAAAAAACGATAGTCAATATATAAAAATTTATATATATATATATACGATAATGTAGTTTATAATCTATATATATATATATTATACTACAGTAGTATATAGCATACTTAGTACAATATATCTATAATAAACTGTATATACTATATATATATATACTTATATTATTGTAGATTTACAATAAAAAAAAAATTTCAAATAATATGAGTAATTCTGTGAATTTGAATTACATGGAATCATAAACTTTTTTTTCATCGATTTTTTTTGTATGTTAGCGTAAAATATTAATGACTATAATCATTGTCGAAATAATCGCAAATAAATTTTTTTTTATTGTTTCAAATGTATTTATATTTAGTCAGAAAATATATATACAATATATATACAGTATATACATATATATATAGTAAAAATGTCACACAATTTTTTTTAAATTAAGATTTATTTATCAAAACTATTGTTTTGAATATTAACAACACAATAGTAGTTGCATAATATATGATTGTTTTTTTTCACTAAAAATATATTTTTTTTATTTGAAACAATTTTTTTATTAGTTTAAATTAATTCATTAAAATTTTATTGCTGGTTATACAGTATATTATATATATATATATATATAACTACTATAATAAATAAGTTGTTTTTTTTAAATTAAGTTTAATTTAACTTTACATAAATTTTATTTCTAACGGAAAGATAATTAGTTTTTTCTATTAAAAAAATAAAATACAGTAAAATATATTCATATTATTATTATTATTAATATTAAAAGGTTAATCTAATAATAAATTGAAAGTAATTAAAAAATATATTAATTAGTGTATTATGTTATTTATTATTATTATTATTATGAAATGCTATGTAAATGCCATAACAAATAATATGTTTATATTTACTAAGTATATGTTATTAACAAAATTTATTTTTATTAAAAAATGTTATTATAATTTATAAACTTATAAACATGTTTTCAAATAAAAATAAATCATATTGATATTACAAAATATAATATAGTAATAATAATAATAATAATAATAATAATAATAATAATAATAATTTCAGTAAAATTAATAAGTTTTTAACAAAATTTTCTATTTTAAAAAAATAAATTGTTGTTTCACAAGAATTTTTTTTAAATTATAAAATAAATCTTTAAATAATTTATTTTTCCTGTAATAATAATAACATAGTTTTGAAATAATATTTTATTTTAGTCTACACTAACAATCAATATTTGTTTTGTTGTTTTTTTATTTGATTAAACATTTAATATAAATTGATTGTCAAAATCATGTGAATTAATGGATTTTTAAGGAAATCAATGATATTATCGATGACAACACATAATAGATAGAAATTTAAGAAATTATTTTATATAAATTTTATAAAAAAAATTTCTATTAGTCTATTTCAAATTATAAATAAATTAAAATTCTAATATAATATATATATAATTTATGTTACTATTATATCATTAATTTAAAAAAAAAATTATGATTTTACGATAAGTGTCATCAATCATTGCATAGTTTATTTAATAATAATTTAATTAAAAAGTCAAAAATACATACACACACAATATATATATATGCTTTTTGATATAATGATTTTGATATAATTTTAATAAATCATATATATATATATATATATATAATTTAATATATATATAGAATATTAATTTAATTTTATAAAAATAACTTTTTTGAATTGTTAAGTATAATATAATTTTCATATTAAGTCAAAAATATAAGTTATATACTGTATATATCACAGTTGTTTTATGAGTTAATAATTTTTCGCTTACAAATTATTGGTAATTTATATATATATTATATGTTTATAGTTATTGAATAATACTGTATATAATAAAGTATTATAATAATAATAATAATAATAATATATTATATAAATATTATCTAATAAATACTGTATATATATATATATAGTAGTATACAATATTATTCAATGTATACATAGTATAATATATAATAAATATAAATATAAAGTAAAATGCATAACCATAAAGTTTAAGTAAACAATTTTCAATAACCAATAATTTTTTTTTTATTTGAATTCCTATTTTAAATCTCTAAAGACTTTTCTGTATAAATTTCCATTTGCTTTTCGAGATAATAATAATAATATAAAAAATATATTATTATTATTATTATTATTATATATATATATAAAGCAATATTTTCAAACACATATATATTTTTTTTCCTACGATAATGTACCGGAAATTTTCAATTGTTTTTGTTGTGTTGTCTGTGTCTGTCTATGACATGAAAATCTATGACACTTTAGTGTTGAATAAAATGATTTTTTTTTTGTTACACATTTTCTCTACACTAAATATACTGTATTTATATATTTCTAACAATAAATATGGAAAAATTTTGTTTATGTTTTTTTAAATTGTTATTCAAAACAATATATATATATATATATATATATATAAATAGTTTTAAATTTTTCGTATTTTATTGGTTTTTTTGGTATATATTTAATACTAATATTTAATCCATGAAAACAACTCATAATTAATAATAATCTTATTTTCTATTATTCATTATATATCATAATATTGTACCTGATTTTTATGCATTTATTTAATACTGTATTCAAATGTTTAATTTTTCTAAATCTAATATAAATAAATAAAATTTCATAATTTTTGTAATATTTTAGATTTAATTATCTATTTTATATATTTATAAGTACTACTCAAATAATTTTAGGAAATGATTTATTTTAAAAATGATTTTTGCAATTAATTTAATAAATACATATCTGTAATTACTATTTCATAATAATAATAATAATAATTTTGTTTTATATTATTTTATTATGTTTTGATTGGCAATTATAATATATAAAGTTTATATATATATATATATAGTTTTAAATTTTTCTTATTTTATTGGTTTTTTTGGTATATATTTAATACTAATATTTAATCCATGAAAACAACTCATAATTAATAATAATCTTATTTTCTATTATTCATTATATATCATAATATTGTACCTGATTTTTATGCATTTATTTAATACTGTATTCAAATGTTTAATTTTTCTAAATCTAATATAAATAAATAAAATTTCATAATTTTTGTAATATTTTAGATTTAATTATCTATTTTATATATTTATAAGTACTACTCAAATAATTTTAGGAAATGATTTATTTTAAAAATGATTTTTGCAATTAATTTAATAAATACATATCTGTAATTACTATTTCATAATAATAATAATAATAATAATTTTGTTTTATATTATTTTATTATGTTTTGATTGGCAATTATAATATATAAAGTTTATATATATATATATATATATATATATTACTCTAATATTCAGTAAAAAAATTGCAATATTTTTTTTATCAAATATATTTGTTAAATCAAAAATCAACGTTAAGGAAATAAAAATTATATATTTTTAAAATAAAAAAATAATATAAAAACCAATTGTTTTTTTTATGATTTTTATCAAATATTATTTGTGTTTAATATTATTTTATGTTTGATAAAAACCATTTGTTACACAAATTGACAATTACAATAATAAGATTAAGTTTGATATAAAACTTATATATTAATATATATATAAATATATTGTTATATATATATATATATTAATAATGTATAAATACTGTATAAGCAAATATTGCAGTATAAATATATATATACTGTATTTATATATTTATAAAATAATGTTGCTTATATAACTAAAACTAAAATAGTTTAACTATTTTTTAAAAATATTTATAATATATATAATATCTGTTTTTGAAAGTTTATTTAATAATTTTGTTTATTATTATTATAATAATAATACTGTAGTTTTGTATTAGCTAACTAAGCAAAATGTTCATCAATTATAGTTTAAAAATAAATATACAGTATAAACACATACACACTTTATATCTATTAATATTATATATATATTTCAATATAATTTGTATATATATCCTATTATCTATAATACCTAATAATATATTAAATTGAATTGATTTTATATTATTATTGAAACTGATTTAATATGAATGTATAAACCGTTACTGTATATAATATATACATATATATATTAATATATTATATATAGTATATATCATATACTGTATAAGCAATATAACCTGTCTATACATAATTCAAATAAATACATAATAATACTACTGTATGATAGTATGAATTATAATGATGCAAATAATAAAAAATTTTATTTTAAAAAAATACATACCTTTCCAAAGCTACCCTTTCCGATGGCCCTTAATATCTGGAAGTCATCAAATGTCACCTCATCACTGGTACTGCCCTGTGATGATACACTCGACAGTTTGCTTCTATTGACTCCCATTATAATACAGTACAGTATATATATATATATATATATATATATATATATATATATATATATATATTATACAAGCAAACAAACCAAACTAAATAATAATTAAAAAAAAATTTATACAACAAACACACAGTATATTTGTAGTGGAAAATAGGTTTTAGTTTTATTTTTAAAATGTTTGTTTGTTATATTAATAATATACCTGTATATAATGGATATTTGGTATATAATGTATTTTTATAAGAGTATTATATTGATATTAAATTTTAACTGTATTATTTTTATATTATTAATAATGTTTTATATATATATTGATATACAGTATATGCTGTATATTTGGTTAACTGTCCGTCTCTTTTGTTTAGATATATTTAATAAATTTATCATATATTTAATAGAGACATAAAATAACAAATAAATAAAATATTAATATGTTTATATAAACCATTATACTGTAGTAGTAGGAAACAATTGAAAATAATTTTTGTATATTAATATTTATAATGTATTTTAATGTTATATATACTATATATATATATATACTGTATAAAGTATATTAATAATTCATAATTTATCAAATTAAAACAAAAAACATTTAATTTATGAAATATTGAAGAAAAATAAAACAAAACACAATTAAATTACAATCAATTTAATGGTATCTATTATTTTATTATATTATTATAATATATTAATTTTTTTAAAACAACTTATTATTATTGATATGATTAGTTCACAATATCAAAAAACAACATGTATTAAGATATTTAATTTTTTTAACAAATATATTACTTTTGGTTTCACAACGTTTAACTAAATAAATAGTTTAATTTGAGTTATTATTATTAACATATATTTTTTTTTTTAAACATTGAATACATATTTTTCGTGATTTTCTATCGTTAAGTATTAATAGTTTATACTCAAAAAAACACAGTTAATATACTTATAGACTAAATATATTGAACCAAAAAAAAACAAAAAATTATTTCAAGCATTTAATAGTCAATGCGATCAATAAGATAATAATTGCATAAAAAAAATTCTGGGAAATAGCGTATAAAACAAATTAGATAATATTAAAAAAAATTATTGAACAAAAAACAACAAAACTTAAACTAGAGATAACTTATTTGTGGAGCACTGGTATATACTGTAATAACTAATACCATATAATACTAGTGCTGATGATGATAATGGTGATGATAGTGATAGTTATTAAATGCCGGTAACTATTGATGAGAGACAACAAACCCTTTAAACATTTGAACAAAAAAAAACAAACGAAAAAAATCAGTGAAACGAAAAATAAAAATTTAAATCCAATTTTTTTTGCCAATTTTTATCTCAAAAAATATACACAATTTAAAGTAAACAAACGTAACAAAAATAATAATTGATAATTTTTTTAATAGCTAATATATAATTTTATTTCGCAATTATTATTAGGATTTTTTTTGGCTAATAAAACATTTTTTGACTCAAATAATTATTTAATATATTCAATAAAGTTATTATTATTATTATTATTATTATTAATTTAATTAATAGTCACAAAACTATACGACAATCTTTTTTTTTAAAAACTTTTAATACTGTAATATCAATTATATTATTATTATTATAGTCATAACATTTACTTTTTGTTTAAAAAATTATTTTATTTTTATATATTTAAATAATTTTTTTTAATAAGTTATGTCTAAAATATTATACTTAAATCTGCTATTGTTTAGTAATAACAGAGTTTATACATACAATTTATCTGTTTGTTTGGTCACTTATATAAAAAAAAAACTGGCAAACAGTTATCGATGTTATTATGATATTATTATTATTACTATTACTTTATGATTATTACTTAAACAGAGACATCGCCTCTTCAATATAGTGTGTGTTTGTACTGTATGTACAGTATGTATGTGTGTGTGTGTTGTGTTGAGAATACCAGAATCGACACACAAAAACAACTGTTCAAAAACAGACATCCACTGTAGGAAAAAGGGAAATATACAGTATATATATGTATAGAATATATATATATATAGAGAATATATGACATTACATATATAATTATAGAGCTGTAGTAGACATGAGTTTCTATAGACGGAGAAGCGCATGGGTTGTATGTTGAACGCAATGAGCGCTAACACTTGAAATATAGCAAAATAAATCCGTGATTTGAATTGATATTATGATAATAATAATAAATATGTTATATACTGTATATATATATATATATATATATATATATATATATATATATATATGTATATATATATATATATAGAGAGAGAGAGAGAGAGAGAGAGAGATATTTGCAAAGAATTTAAAGGCTAAACATTTAGTATTATTATTATTATTATTATTAGTAGTAGTAGTAGTAGTAGTAGTAGTAGTAGTAGTAATGACAGACACAGTATATTATTATTATTATTATTATTTGTATTAGTAGTAATAGTTGTAGTAATATACAGTAGTGTTATGTAAGTTTATTTTATAATATATATATAACTTATATATCATATATAAATAAATAAATTTATAAAAGCTTTTTTTTATACGCAATTTTATTTTGTAAACTTAGTTTTATTCAAAATTTAAAGTACTTAACACGTTTTATATATATATAAAAGCATTTTTTTTATCAAATATGACATAATAAAAATTATTGAGAAAGAAAGAGAGAGAGAGAGAGAGAGAGAGAGAGAGAAGAGAGAGAGAGAGAGATAGCATTAGCAATAATAATTTTTTTATCTATTATTTACTATTTTGTTGCTTATTTCTGGGTATAAATTGGATAAAATAATAGTAATAATAAAACTGTTTTTATTTCTTTAGGCTTTTATAAAAAAAACTAAAAATAAATATTATTACAGTATATTGTGATAAATACGTTTAACTAATGTATAATTTCAATCATCTGAAAAGGTCATCATTATATATTAATTTTTTTTCAACTAATAAATTATAATAATTATAAATATAATAGTTTCTAAATGTTAATTTAGAAAATTGTTTTATAACTATTAAAACTAAATATTTTATTTATTGATTTTTTTATGTGTGTCTTATATTTTATTAAATTAAATTACTAAATGATTATTTAAAATATAGAAATATATTATACTTTACTTTTATTTTAAAAGTAAAACTTTTATTAATTTAATTAAACATTTTTATAGTCTAATAAAATAAGATTATATGATATTATGCGCTATTTATTAAATATAAAGTGTTCATAAATTTCAAATTTTTTTATTAAATGTTTTTATTTTGCATTGTTTTGTATATTTAATATATTTGTCTATATATTATTGATTGACATATATATATACATATATACATATAGCTATATATATATACATTATGTATAATGTATTTATACTCTATTATTAAATTATAAAAATTGACTTAATATAAAATCGATAAATTAAATCAAATTTATAAAAGTCGATAAAAAAATTATTTATTTATTTATTAAATATTTATTGATTCATAATTACTAAATAAATACTCCTTCGAAAACTTATAATACTTTTTATTTTTATTTATTTATAAAAAAATTTTAATTAATTTTTTTTGAACCTATCAAATATTTGTTTTAGATAATATACAAATTTTAATTAAGCTAAGTTTATTATACTGTTATATTATGTAATTTATGCAAACAAATGTTATGCAAATAAAATAACAGTTAACTATAATACATAATACATAATAATAATAATAATAGTATTACTATTACATATAAAATATACAATGTGTAGCATAATATAATAAATCGTTGTCATAGTTTTATTACTAATTTATATATATATTTTTTGTATCATATTATATATATATATACTTTTATATATAAATACAATACACATTTGAATATATATATATATATATATATATATATAAACTAAAGTCAAATTATGTTAAAGTGCACATTGACAAATTGCAAAAATAAAAATTTTAAAATTTGAACTGAAAATTGAAATTTATTGATTTATAAATTTTAGTAGATTTTTATTTTTATATATCATAACATTTTATTGCAAATGTTATTATAGTATAAATAAGTATAATATATTTCAATGTTTATAAAAATAAAATTGGTTTTATATTAACTTATTTATTGTTTAATAAACATTTTATTATTATAACTTTTTTTAAAAAAAAAGTTGGTAAATTGATTTAGATAAAAAAAAATAATACATAAACAAATTTTTTGGATAAATTTATTTTCAAATATACCCCTATATATTATTATATAATTATTTGTCATTTTATTTGTTTGTTAAATTAAATTTTTAATTTACTAACTTAACAGTCAGTAGTTAACAAAATATAGTGCTGTTTTTGATTTGAGAAAAATTATTGTCAATTAAATTAATGTCAAGGTTTACTGAATTAGATCTAAAATGTTTTATTAAAACTCATGAGATTTTTGTATTTTTAAACAGTTTGTTTGAAATAAGTTGTTTCTAACAATTAATGCCAAATAACAGTATAATACTATATACTGTACTATAATATACTATATATATATATATATATATATTGTTTAATTATATAGAAAATAATGTTTTTCCTAATTGTTATTATTATTATTATCATATAATGTATTTATCTTTACAATTAAATGTAAAATAAAATTTTTCTATTTAAATAATGTTTTTAATTTAATTAAAATAAGACACTTTACCAAAATGTTTTTGTTATCACTTATTAAATGCTGAAAATCTGATTATTACATAGTTTTTATTATATAAATAATTTTTTTTGAATATTTTATTTTTGCTAAATTAAGCTATTATTGTGTATTATTATTATTATATATTGTATATTATACTTGAATTAAAGTTATATAATCTATGTCTATGTTGCGTTGAATATTAAATTAAACGCTCAGTTAAACACAATTAACCATTGAATGGGATGATAAGTATTCATATGAATAGCTAATATAAAATATTTTTAAACATATAAAAAAAGTAAAAATACAGTAAAGTATATATAACAATAAGAGATTATTATGTATTACAAAAATATAATTACTGTTTACATATATATACAAAAAATGTTTGCTTTATTTTAATTGAATTGCTTACATATAATGAACATTCATAAAGATATAGATATTTTGAAATATATTTTCTATTTTTTATACACATATATATATATGTTTTTTATTTATTATGTAAATAATTACAATATAAATTAATGTATACAAACAAAAATAAATAAAATAAAACACAAATTTTATGTTTATTTACACATGTTTTTGAATGTCTTCAATAAATAAAACCATATTTAAAATATACTGTACTATAAGAAAAGTTGATTTTTAAATATATTATTAAATAAATAAATAATATCAACAACAAAAAATTTTTAAATAAATCTATTATAGTATTAAACTAAATAATAAACTAAATGTTTAATATATATATATATATATAATAACTAAATAATCTAATGTTATTTTTTATTCATATTATAAATTATATAATAATACTATTGATTTATTTATAATTTTATAACAGAATATTCTTTAAAAAAATACTAAAGTATTGTATTAAAAAACATAAGTTGTAAGACATTTATCAAAAAAACAAAAAACAAACAAAAAATTTATTAACTATTTGTTTTAATTTAGTTATAATATAAGAAAATTGTATATAAATTTAATTTAATAATAATTTTTGTTTCTTAATTGTAATATTAAAAAAAAACAAATACTTAATAAACACACAAAAATTTAGTCAATACTTAATGTTTGCATTTAATTGCTAACAATATAGATGTCGACTGTATATACAACAATAATATTACATTACAGACATGCTATGCACGTTAATGTAGTCAACTAGTAGATAGAGGCGGAGCCAACTCATACGATAGTAACTCTATATACAATATACCGGTATATATATATATATATAAGTATAATATACGTAATCTATGTCATGCTATTGTGCGATACATATACAGTGTGTGATTGCAATACAATACTATCGATACCATCGATACAAACAACACAAACAAGTCTTTCCTTTTTCCGGTTGTTTTCAGTTAATGACAACACGTTTTGATTGTTTGTGTAATCAAATTGTGTGATAAAAAGTGTGGTCAACACTACAACACCAACCGATAACCAAATGGCCCGATACTCGACCGATCCCGAGAACCCGACCCGATCGTGCAAAGCGAAGGGCAGTAATCTGAGGGTACACTTCAAGAACACCCGCGAGACGGCTCAGGCCATCAAACGGATGCCACTGTTGAGAGCCCAACGATACCTGAAGAATGTTATCGCCAAGAAAGAGATCGTACCGTTTCGCCGATTCAATGGCGGTGTCGGCCGTAAGGCACAGATGAAAGCATTTTCGGGTACAACTCAGGGCCGATGGCCGGAAAAGTCGGCCGAATTTCTGTTGCAATTGTTGCGCAATGCCGAAAGTAATGCCGACTATAAGGGTCTGGAAGTGGATAAGCTGGTGATTGAGCACATCCAGGTTAATCGGGCACCGAAAATGCGTCGCCGAACCTATCGAGCCCACGGCCGTATCAATCCGTATATGAGCAGTCCGTGTCATATTGAGGTTATACTGTCGGAGAAGGAACAAGTGGTGGCCAAAGCCCCGGCCGACGATGCAGAGTCACCCAAGAAGAAGATGTCGAAGAAAAAGATGGCCCGACAGAAGCTCATGCAAAGAGAGTAATAATAAAAACGGATGAAATGATTATTATTTAGTAGACATTATTAATTGGTTGTCATTTAACTGATCCATACCTTAAAAATGTATTTTGAAAATGAAAAAGTTATGATTGAATTGATTGAATAAAAATTAATATGTTTTTCAATTTATATAAATTGTTTGTTTGTTTGTTTCAATGATAAAAATAATTAAATTTAAATGATATGTTTTTTTAATGACATTTTTATTATTATTTAATTTATTTATTTATGTTTTTTTCTGAAGTGAAATATTTAATAATAATATATAAATTAAAATAAATGATTGATTAAAAACAACAATTTAATCGGTCATAAAATTTTTAAATATATATATATTTATATGAATAGTTGTATAATTAAATTAGTGGTTAAACAAAAACAAACAAAAAATAATAATAATAATTTTAAACAAATTATGAGTTTTCTTCTTCATTTTTTTTTCTTAAAAAAATTAAATGTGAAAAACAAATATATCAATAGTTATGTGTGAAACAAATTAATTTATATTGGATTTTATTTTTTTTAATACAATCAGATTAGCCGCTTAAGTCATTGTCGTCGTATAAAATCTGATCGTATAGTTCGGCTTTGACCACTCGGCCGCCGAAAAAACGGCCATTCAATGCGTCCCGTCCTTTGACGGCTTCTGTTAGTAATAATAATAAATTAGTCGAATAGAGAATAGAGAATAATAATAATTATTCGGTAATTAGTTTAGACAACAACTACTACTAACCGGATTGTTGACTGAATTCGACAAATATTTTGACAATAATTTCGGCGTCTTCTTCTTCCGATTGTTTTTCCTGGTAAATGATAACCCGATTAACTGATCCAAATTTGCCGCACTCTTCAGTTACTTCCGATTCGAGTTCGTCGTCAATATCTTCAACGCCAACCATATTTCTCAGTACAATAACTCTTGACTTTTATTATTTTTTTTAAATAACGGGTAATTAAAAAATTAGTAAAAAATTATCGGTAATTAATTAGATTTTTTTTAAAAAAATACCTCATTCTTCCTCATGAGTTTATGCATCAACATTTGTCTAGCAGTTGTTCCCTTAATGACCATATTTTCTTGTTGTTGTAATGTTTGCGATTCATCGATATTACTGTTAGATTCGGACAGTTTAAGTTCAAGATCTTTAGCGGCCGCTATGGCCGCAGCTGTTTCTGCGGAAACGTTAGAACTAACGGCGCTGACTCCTCCCGCCATCGGTATTGTTGTTGTTGTTGTGGTTGTCGGTGCTGCTAATGATGTGTGAATCGTATCGTTGTTGTTGGCGTTGCTATTGTTGGTCGTCACGAGTGTAACGGGTGGTGTACTACTGAATTTGGAAGTTATTATCGGTAATGTCGGTGTTATCTCTGTATTATTATTGTTTGTTAGACTTAATGGTAGATTTGTAACTAATGCTGGCGACGGTATATGTTGGGAGTTGTTATTATTATTAGGCGTTACACCGGTTATAATGCCCGGTGCTGTGGACGCCAATACTGGATGACCGTTTGACGAGCCAATACTCAGTGCGACAGTGGATGCAGTAGTCAGTCCAACAGGAGTCGGCAGTGCAATTCCTGGCGGCGGAATTGCTGCACCCGTACCGTTAGTATTCGGTGCCAGACTGGCTACGGCGTCCATTGCCTGAATTTTTGCTGTAGCCGCTGCAGCGGCTACGGCAGCAGCCGTAGGCATAGCACTGGGCGGTGCAGCCCCGGGACCGTCGAAACAGTTGGGCGGTGTTATTGCTCGACCCACTCGCAAGTATTGGCCGCCTAAGTCAAAGAGATTCATCGACGTAATGGCGTCGATGGCCGCCTGATCTGTTTCGTACTCAATGAACGCGTGGCCCTTATGTTTGCCCGGATATGACGATTGGGCTAATTTGCAGGATTTAATTTTGCCGAACGCCTCGAACACCGATTGGATATCCGTTTCGGATAAGTCCTGATGAATGGACGCAATATAGATACGATTGTAGGACTTGGCCTCGTGCTGGAGCTGTTCGATAATCGGGGCCGCCTGAGGCATATTCGATGGTCGGCCAACTTTGATGTTACGGCCGCCAATAATTACACCGTTCATCTGGTCGAGTGCCAGCTGTGCGGCTTCGGGCAGATCGTACTCAACGAAAGCGAAACCTTTATGTTTTTGTGTAATCGGATCCCAAGACATATTGATCGACTTGATTGGTCCGAACGGTGTAAACGCCGTCCGAATTGTGTCCTCTTTCAGTTCGAAGCTAATACTGCCGACATATACCCGACACATCAGTACCAGTGCCTGATGTCTTTGCAATGATTTTTGTTGTTGTTGTTGATGAGCAATGGTCTGTTTGACCAGAACCGATCGTATCGATTGTTCCATGGCAAACTTTTTAGCTTTGTTAACCATTTCCAATTGATCGCTGGTCAACTTAACCAAACCGGCTTCGATAGCCGACGCCCGTAGAGCTCCCGGACCGGCTAACAGTTGGCCGGTTTGTTGTTGGGCAGCGGCTGCTGCGGCCGCTGCAGCAGCCGATGATAGATCGGCCAATTGAGAGCTACTGCCGCCGCCGCCACCGCTTCCTCCACTACCGCCACCCCCGCCGTCATCGTCGGTATTATTAAGCGAACAGTCAAATGATAGGCCATTCAGTGATACAGTCATTGCTTTTATAATAAATACATTAAATTATTATTTATTTATTATTTTTTATTATTATTTGTTATTTATTATTATCTATAAACAGATACTACTGTATAGTGTATTGTATTGTTTATTGTCTCTCTCTCTCTGTATTATTCCAGTCACGTGACACTACACTCGACAGTACTTTATTATTACCATAATATTAAATTCTAATACAGTATACACTGTTTATACGTACTATATGTAAGGCATAGAGTGTTTGCATTCCATTAGAAAGTAGGGGAAGAAACAAAATTTTCTTCCCAATTGATGGTTAAAATTCCCGGAATTTTTATTTGGAAAATATTAGAAATTATAGCATTATTTATAACTTATTAATGGAACATCAATAAATTGTATGAAATTATTATGTGAACTAAAATTTTTTTTTGAAAAAAATAAAGTTTCCGGGAATTAACTATTAATAGTATAAATAGATAGGAAAATATTGGGATTTTTTATTAGGAATATTATAACTGAAAAGAGTGAAAATATTAGTGAATTTTTTTTATGGTTACAGTAGTTAAATAACCGTATGGTTTGTGTGTTAATGAAATATATCAGACTTCCGATACATAGGCAGACACTCAAAAACAATTAGTTTTTTATTCTATTCCATTAATATTTATAATATATACTGTAGTTATATATATATACCCCTTAGCTATCACTTTCACTGCATATATTATAATCGCGGCTAAAGTTCACACACACACAGTGTGTATGTATGTGTGTGTGACTATGGATTTGAAGTATGAAATAAAACTTTTAATAATAATAATAATAAAGTAGTGATATTCAGATAAAACTTTTAGTTTGTTTGATAATTATTTTTGTATTAAAACTTTTTTTTAAAAAAGTTATTTATTAATAATAAACACAATTAATATAAACAAACAAAAAAGTTTATGCAAAATAAATGTATAATTGTTTTATTAGTGTCTAAAATTTTTTAATTTTTTAAAATTTATATTAATTTTTTTAAAACTTAATATGTATGGTATATCATAGATTATGTTACAATTTTTTTATTTAAAAATATTAACTTATTTTATTTTAAATTAATGTTTTAATTAAATTTTTTTATATTAAAAAAATAGATATCTATTAATCAATCAATAAATAAATCAATTTTTTAATGTCTATGAAAATGTATACTAAGGTATAAATATATTTTTTTTATTTAATAAAAATATAATTATCATTTACATTCATATAATTTTAAAACAATTAACCAATGTATTTATTTTTATAATATTTTAATTAATTGATAATAATGATTTTTTTTTAAAAATTTAAGTTATTAATAAGTTATTTTTTATTTATTTTTTTTAAAAAAACTAAATTTTTATGATTTTAACAATTTATAAAAATAATGGGCAAATAACATAACCCGACCTGTAGTTCCTTTACGCATTTCAGGCCATTCCCGCTATAAACACATACAAAAAATTTAAAAAATAATATAATCAATCAGTAATATAATTATGATATTGAATTTATTTTTTTAAAAAAAATAATTTTAAAAAGTTAATATTTATTTTTTTTAAAACATTACATTTTCGGGTACCGACTGTTGATCACTATCGGACAGCTTAAGCTTTTGTCGGGTTAGTCGGGCCATCAGGTGCTTCAACAATAGGTCGACCATCAGTGAACGATCATCACTATCACCGGGTGCTAAGCGGGCCATAAATCTCATAAGATATTCAACTGTAAATCGGATTGACTTTATTTTGTTATGAATGAAAGGGTGGTTTAAATAAATTAAATAAGATTTTAAATTATTATTTATTTTTGTTTGATATCATCTACCTGTTCCAGTTTGGTCAGTGCGTCCAATGGTTTCTCAGCTTTGAGTACCAAATAGCACAGACATGTCTTGTTGAGTACGGGTTCGGGTAACGAGTCGATGAATGACCAGAGAAGGGCCGCTAGTATATTGACGTTGGTTTCGGCGGAGACTTTGTCCCAACAGTTTGGCCGAGTATTCAACTCTTTCTATATATAAATAAAACAATAATTTTTTAAAAACACAAAAATTTCACATCAATTTTATATTACTATTAATAATTAAATTTATTTAATAATTATTTTGTGTGTCTGATTAGTTTTTAAAAAAATAATTGACAATTATAACTAAATTAATTTAAATACAGATAACTATTATATTTTATTTAATATTTATTTAGGCCTTAAAAACAAATTAAACCTAATTTCTACTGTAGTTAATAAATGTGTTAATTAATGTAAATTAGATATTAAAATATTATTATTATTATTATCATAAATATCATAATTGTTAGCAAACCTGATATAAAATTAATGCATTTTTCAATGGATTATCAAATGTCTTATAATCGGTGAGAAGTGCTTTGACCACTACATCGACATCTAATGTCTGGCAATCGTCGCCGTCGACATCGTTATCATCGCTGTCGCTGTCATTGCCGACAAAATTGTTGGCCGACATAAAACCCGAACTACACTTGGCATCCAACGACTGGTCATCATCACCATTGGCGACGGCGGCGGCGGTGACGGCCGCGACATTGATGTCCGCATCGCTATCATCGGAATCGCTAAACAGATCCCTTTCATCGTACAACTCTTCGTCATTGTCTTCATCATCATTATTGTAGTGATTTTGGTACTGATTTTTGTCAATCAAATTATGATTACTATTCAATAGTTTAAAAACTTTTTCTTCGTAAACCATTTGGTTTGAATCGATTTTGATGACACCGTAGGCCAGACTCTCGATCAGCGATGTTATACTTTCGGACATTGAACTATCAATTGGTTCATCGGTATCGCTGTTACTCATTGAACTACTGGTGCTGTTGTTGGCCGATGTGGAGGAATAGATAAACTTTTTCATCGGTGTTTCCAATCCGACAGCATTTATCTGATGCATCGGTGCACTGATCGACGACAGTATGTCCGGCTCGAGTGTTGCAAACGTTGGTCCAGATTTTGATCCATTAACCATTGCCGACGATTTTTTACCATTAGTTATGGCGGCGGCGGCGGCGGCGGTGGTGGTGGTGGTGGAGACCACTGCAACGGATTTGCGATCCGACGATACAGTTTTCCCACCATATCTTTCATCCAACAACAGACTGTCGACTTCGGTAATATCAGTTTGATCGGTATCCGGACTGGCGATACCCGATGTCATTGTTGCCGTATTGTTAGACTCGGGCCGCCACGGCCGACCCCGCGGCTGCTGCTGCTGGTGTTGATGTCGCCGTCTATCGTGTCTTATCTGTTGTTTTGATTGGACAGTATTGGCAAAGAAGTGATTGCAAAAGCTTTCGGTTTTGTCCAATTGATAGCTAATGCCAACAACATTGGTGTCCACTTTGCCGACAACACCGGGAGAGTAAGCTCTGTGTCTTCCGCATAGTTTCAATAGTCTTTCGCATACCATATATATTAACTAAATATATATATATAATGTTTTTTTTAAATAATTTTTTTATTTTTTAAATTAAATCTATTTTATATTGCCATTAAATTTAGTTAATTTGTATATTAAATATTCAAATATAATATTAGAAATTTACTAATGTATTAATAGATATTAAATAATTATATAAACCAATATAATCTTTTAAATTATTATTTATTTAATTTTAAATTTGTTTTATTGTTTATCCAAAAAAAATATCATTGATTGCAAAACTTTTTTATATTATTTGTAAATATAATTATTTTAATCCTTCAATCAAATGCCGATTTTTAAAAATGTCAAAAAAAATATTGTATATATCATATCATATACAGTATAAGCGCTTAACTTAATTATTGAGATTTAAGTAATAAAGTAATAAGAGATTTATAAGTCTAAACTTTTATATGAAAATAATATAAAGTTACATAAATTAATATATTAAATGAATATCTATTTACTACTACTATAGTATTAATTGTTATATAAAAATATCGGATATTTAATACATCAAATACAACGACATGTTTGAATAGTCAATAATATTATTATTATTAATAATAATAGTAAATCTTAATAGCGGTACAATTGATATAATTAATTATTAATTATTAAATATATTCAATGTCAGTGTCAATAGTAAAACCGTATTAAACAAAAAAAATTTTATATTGTAGTACTTTATTATACTATAAAGTGATTTTTGTTAAATATTTTTATTGATGAACGTATAGATCAAACAGTGCCGCAAAACAGTGTGATGTCGGTATAAATCAATGTAAAAACCATAATAGACTACTATTAATGTAACGGTATGTTAGTAGTAGTAAAGGGCAATTCAAATGGGGAGGGGTGTGGGTGGGGGTAAATATATTTCGCAATCAATTTCCTGTTGTGTTTTATTTTTACTAAATATACACAAAATTTTCAATTATTATTATTATTGTTTCAATAGATCAATCATTTATGAGTCGCTTATTTATTGAGAGATTTTTTTTTGATATTTTGTTATTGAAATTATCAATATATAAAAAGTTTTCTTTAAAAAAAAGTTTCATATCCTTCGAGTCTATGTATCGGTAACTTAAAGTTTGCTTAAGATTTTTAATTTTTTTTAAATTGTTTTAATTATTTATATTAATATAAAAGTTTAGTGATTATTAGTAGTACCTATTTTTAAATATCTTATTATTATTTTTTGGATTAAATTGTCTTAAAAATTATTGAAAAATGATTAACAATAATAATAATAAGCCATCAAATGCTAATATTTTAAGCAATTATTTTGGCATTAATTCATGTAATTTGTAGTTATTTTGTTTGTTTGTTTGTCCTTAAAAAAGCTAAAAAATTTATAATAATTTTTTTTCAATCTTATATTTTTTTATCTTTAAAAAACCAATTAATAGTCTATAAAAATTGGAGCGGATTTGAAAACAGTGGTCTCGATCTAATGGTCCGAAATAAAGGTAGTCATCATCATCAACATCAACGGCCAGTGATGGCCAACAACGAGTTGTCCTATCTATCGGCTATGCCATCAATACGTTTGTCGAATCAGTTCTGGAGAAAGTCGTCAACTGATTCGATTGGCGACGACTCGGAGGACTCCGGATCGGACATTAAGTCACTGATTGACGAAAGCTTCGGCAACAACAAGATTTACGGCTTTTCCGATAGCGACGACAACTCAACAGATTTGATGAACAAAACCAATATATTGTCAAAAGTAATGACACGTCCGATCAAAAAGAGTAGTACAACTGCCCGATCACTTCGCGGACGTACACAGTGGCCGCTCAAAGATGCTGTCCATCAGTCATCATCGTTGTTGTCGTCGTCGGAACTACTGGTCGTTCGACACCATATTGACAAAGTCAGGCCATTGTTGCCGAAGTTAACGGCGGCGGCAACAACAACGCCGTCGTCGATGCGACACAAACTGTGCGCCTTTTGTATGAAAAACAAGGAAACAGCCGATGTCTATACCAGTCATAATTTGCGTGAATGCGGTCAAGTGGTCTGCCCTATACTGATCAGCTACAGGTGCGATGTTTGCGGTAATAAGGGCGGAAAAAATCCTCACACCCGACGCTACTGTCCTCTGTACAAGAAAGCTGTCGAGGATGGCTATGTCATGGCTTGAATCAATCCAATCAATGGATGGCTACTAATGATTATCAGTTTATTATGACTAAACTATATATATATATATATAGTTATATATAACTAAACTTTCATTTAAAATACAGTATATATTCACACATTTGATATCAATTTTAAAATAATATTTTAAGTTTTTTTTGTTTTAATTTTTGAATCAATTGGAAAGTTTGTAATTTTTGTTTTTAATATATTATTTTATCATAATTTTTTTTTGTATTGATATATTATAACATTATTATTAATTGATAATCAATTAGACTAATAATATATTACTACTATATCATAAGTTTTAATATATTATAGATAATATATATTTTTGTATTCATATATATATATATATATATCTATAAATAATTAATTTTGTTTATCGCATGTTGTTATAGTTGATTGAAAATTGTGTTTGTATTACACCAAAAAAGTTTAACCAATTATCATATATAATATGTCTTTTATGTTTTAAATGCTATTTTAATTAATAATTTTTAAAATATAATAATAATAGACACATACTTTTGGTATATATTTTAAATGTCTTAATTCATATCCATGTAATAGTAATCTCTGTTTGTGAATAATTTCTGATAAATTCAATCCAATTTGTCGATCAATTCTGTAAATTAAAAAAAAATTATTATTAATAAAAATATATTCATTAATAATATTAATCATAAATTGTTGTAAAGTTAATGATGTATTTTTTTTTGATAAAAATAATTATTTTAACATTAATAAGAAAAAAATACTATAAATTGCTTACATGTGCTGATAGACGACAAACAGGGGAACGACATATTGCGAGAATTGGATAACACATAGTATCTGTCCTCTGGTTTGTATTGAATTTGGTCTATAATTTACAATAACAAAAAAATGATATATATTTTTTGTTAATTATTTTTTTAGATATTTTTTTCTATAACCTCTTTGATCTGACATGTTTGATAGCATCGTATGGTTTGCACCGGAGTGTAAACACCAAATACGAGGCTATGAGGACACCGGTACGGCCGAGACCCGCGTGACAATGGATGGCTGTCTATAAAAATTATAAGTAATTATAGTATATATAATAATTTAATTTCATATACCTTTCCCTCGGACAGTGCAAATGTTAGCACTTTAACCATATCTAATAGGACATCATTGGACACAATTGAATAGTCTTTCCATTGAAAATTGTAAAAATAAACTGCAATTTATATAAAATAAAATAATTAAAATATGTAATAATAAGTACAGAATATCAAATAATTAGTCATTTAATTTTATTTTTTAAAACTAAGTTTAGTATAACTCTGTATTATCTAAAATCTGTATGAATTGTATATTGATTTTTTTAAAAACATTATATAACTATACTATTAACTACTGTGTATGTAAATATTATAGTAATAAAAATGATAATTATTTTCAATTGATTAATTCCCATTTGAGAATTTAGATATACAATAGTAATAAAAATAACATATACTAAAAACTGTATGTTATTAACGATAATACCGATTGATTTTTAAATACTATAATTATAATATTACATTTTGGGTTTTATTTAATTGTATTTATTTAATGGTAATTATCATTCATTAGTAACAATGATACACTTGAGGCCAGCCATTATTAAATATAAAACTTTATTTAATAGTGTCTGTATGTATTATATACACCTAAAAAATTATCATTAATATATTAATATAACATATACAGTATATAAATTTATATACCATATATATATATCATAATATTTTAACCAAACTTCAAACAATATAATAATATTTATTATTAAAAGTTTTTAATTAATTAAAAACTACTTCAAAAAAAAATTTGTTAGTGCATTGATTATATGCTAATATTTACCATTAATTTATAGCTATTGTGTTAATATATAACTTGTAATACTGTATATACAGTAATATGCAATTTTATAAATTTTCTCTCTCTCTCTAAAAATAATATAAATATAATGTTTTTTAATTGTAATTTTCTATATAAAAAATTGTAAAATTAAAAAATTATTTATTAAATTGTATCCAGCTAAAAAATTACCTTTATTATCCATAAAAGTAGCCGGATCATAGGAGAAACCACTTTTATTTAATCCGATACCACACGATGAATGTTCACCAGGTTCTTGTAAATTGATTATTGATTTTATTTTATGTCTATTAACAAAACAAACAAACAAAATATAGTTACAATTTTTTTTTAAAAGTAATTAATTATAATTAATATAATATTGTTTTTCGTTTCAAAATTACTTGTGAAAGTATTTAATTAAATCATATTTTTCGATAACATCAGTGTTAGGTCTGGCCATTGCTAGTATATCATCGGTAATCCTATAATTTAAAAAAAATAAATAATACAAAGTTTTTATTGCAAAAAAATATATACATTTCTATTCTATAGTATTATTATTATACTGTATATATATAGTATATAATAATTAATTTTATTTATTTTTTTTAATTTATATATACAAATACAAACCAATGTGAATAAACTCCTGGTATGGCTTTTTGTTGATCAGTCCAATGGTTAGACAATTCATATTTGCATTTTTTTCCGCCGCAAAACATATTACATAAAAGTTGTTGATTTGTCGACTTTCTGATACTTTCACTAAGTTTTGTATAACTATTATATAGATATGGATATATATATAAAAATATTATTAATTTTTTTATTTTTTAGGTTAGGTTTTTTATTTTAAAATTATAAAGATAATAGTCATAGAAAGTAATAATTTTTTTTAAATCTAAATTATTAATTAAAATTTTGATTTTAATTAAATTTAAAGCTATAGTTTTTAAATTATCTATAAATATTCATTTATTTATTTTGCTTAAATATTTATTTATTTATTGCTTAAATATTTATTTAATTAATTAAATTATTTTTAGCTACTTAATTGTTTATTTTAATTTTTAATTAAATGTTATTTTTAGATAATTATAATATTATTAATAATATAAATAAACAAGTATTCAAATATTCTCTAATAATAAATTTTAATTATTATTGTTGTTATAATATTAATTAAAAAATTGTAATAATGATATCATTATCGATAATAAAAAAATTATAAATATCATTAAACAAAAAAAATAATTATTTATTAGTTTTAATTAATTCTAAATGTGTGAAATATTAAAGAAAATTAATATTTTTAGAAAATATTATAATAAATAAAAAATATGTGAACTTAAATTATGGGACAAATTGCAAACTAGTAATGATTATAAAATCAATATTAGTATTTAGCAATCAATAAATATAAACTTATAGTACAGTATATAATCTAAATGTATATTTTTTATTATCATAAATTTATATAAAAATATATATATTTAAATAATAATTCAATATCATTATCACCAAAAAAAATAAAATAAAAATTCATGTAAATATTAATACAAAATTACAAACATTTATTATACAATGTGAATAAATTTAATTTTAATTTTTTATATATATATATTATTTTCTAAATATCTATATATTAATATACTCTATATATATTTATACATATCAAGTTTATTGAACTTTTTAATTAAAAAAATACAATTAATATAGTAATTTATTTATAAAATATCTATTATTTTTTATAAAATATCTATTATTTTTTATAAAATATCTATTATTTTTTATAAAATATCTATTATTTTTTATATTAATTATTTAGTTCATAATAGAACTATTTATACCACAAATAAATTAAATTTAGAAAACTATTATAATATCCACCAAAATAATAAATGTTAATAACTAAACAAAATAGTTTACTTACAGTACTATACAGTATATATATTATAGTTTAATATTGTCTTAATATTTAAATATTATTTATCAAACACCATAACCATACCATAAATATACACTTTTTTTTAAAATAATAGTTATTAATATACTATATAAATATATATTTTTTTGTTATACAAAATCAAACTAAACTATAATTTTTACTATTCAGAGACACACAAAAAATTGTATTGTGGTTAACAACTCAACAATGTTTTGTCAAAATAAAAATGTTTGTTTTAATTAAAACAGTTTGCATTAATTATTAATTAAATACCCAGTATTAGAAACCTTGACTTAATTTTTTACTGAAATAAATTTTGATATGAAGTAAAACTTTTAACAATTTTGTATTTATTTATTTTTATTATTTTTTTTTTGTATAAATGTCATGTCTACCAAATAAACTAGTGATTAATTATTTAGTATTTTAAATATATATATAAAGTATATATATATTTAATATGAAAATGTTTTTAGTAAATAACAAATTTCTAAAATATTTTACTAGAGATATATTACTAGTGTTGGCACAAAAAATAGAGAAATTTCTAGAAAACTTCTAAAAGAATATTCTGCCTATAGGAGCACCATGGTTAATTTAGTTTAATCTCAATTTTTTGTGTTATATTGGAAAAAAGTATATTAAAATTATTAAATAATAACCAAATATTATTATTATTAATATTTTAATTAACATTCAAAATAACAAAATTATCGAATTACTAAAAAATAACAAATTTTTTTTAATAATAACTAAATATAATAAAATTATTTTATTAATTTCTAAATATAAAGATAGATTAGTATAGTATATAACTTATATACATAAGAAAAATATATAATAATATATTATTTATCAAATAATACAGTATTACAATAAATTGAAATTTTTATAGAAATTTATTTATTTATTTTTTGAGAAACTCTAGAAATTTTCTTATGGAAATTTATTTAGAAATTTTCTATTTGCCGATCTCTATATACAATATTACTGATTATAATACTGTACTATAAATTTCCGGCTATCATGATATCACGCAAACAATTATAAATATTTAATAATAATAAGTATAATAAAAATAATACAAAATATAATAATTGTTTGTGTTTAGTAATAATTAAACTAATTTTAATTACAATTTTATACATAATTTATAATAATTATTATTATTTCTAATAATTATCACTTACTTTGATGTCGGCATTAGTTCCCTGTCATTCAATTTGGTGGCCAATGCGGGCCGTAATGTCGTTATATTATAATCCATGGCCACTACTTTTGTCATTATTATTATTATTAATTGGAAATATATATTCAATAAATTATTTATTAAAATTAAAAAACAAACAAACAATACAAATACTTTAAGATGATATGATTATTATTTTTTTAAAAAAAATTAATAGTATTGTAGATATGTATTATAATATAATATTTTATTTTTCTAAAAACTAATATACAAAAAAATATATTCTGTATATATATATAAAGTAATAATGAAAGTAATGAACCTTTCAATTATTAAATAATGAAAAAATATAATATTATCATATATTAAATATATATAAGCTCATGGTTTTAATAACACAACACAAAATACTCGTATTGAATACATAATAATAATAATAATAAACATTTGCTAACAAATCTATAAAATTATATAATACTATAATAGTATATATATATATTATATACTGTATAAAACAATGTGTATGTTTTGGCTATGAATTAGCGACATATATAGTCTGCAATATAATTATAATACAAAATTCCTATAGAATAACACTACAGAATATATTCCTCAATAACTTCATTGAATCAATTGTCTGATATTGAAAACTTTTTTTTATATATATTTCAAATTATTGTTACTCTCAAAGCTTAGGTATGTTTTTGTTGTAATATATATACCATAATAAATGAATCACCAAAAAAAATTAACATACAGGTGTACTATATATTATATACATTTTGATTTAACATATATATATACTGTATAGAGTAATAATTATTTTTTATTAATATTTCATTACTACTATTATTATTATTAATAATATTATAATATTATTGTACTGCATATGAGTAGTATATTTGCATATATTTTAGTCATATATTTTTCATATCACATATACGACTACTTTTATATTGTAGTCAATGGCAACATATTTGTTGATTTTTTAAATAGTAATTTTTTGTTTGTTGTACATTCATAGCATGTGTTTAATGTTATTACAGAATATTCTGTGACTGTATTCATGTATTTATAATATTTGAATATTACATACAATACAAACACAACACTCCATATATATACTGCACATACATAAGCTTATCCCACACACAAGTGTCAGAGTAAATGAATTATTAATGTATTTAACAATATTTTATCAAAAAAATATTTTATTTTATTTTTTGCATTATTATAAATACAAGTACTGTACACACAAAAAAAACTATCAAGGTGAATAGTAATAAATATTAAATTAGATTTATTAGATTTATATACTTTAAATATACTAAAAATAATTTGATTTATTATCAAAACAATTAATTTAATAGTTTATATTTTACAATAATTACTTCATATAACTATTTTTTAAAATATATATATATAATTATAATAATGAATTATTATGATATAAATATTAAACATTATATAAATGTCTATATGATTGATAATAGCTATGATATTAATATCTATAAAAAAAATTTAAAAATAATATAAATTAATAGCCTAATACAATTTTATTTTATTTCTACAAATATAAATAAATAAAAAATAAATTTTACGGTTAGTAAAAAAAAGTGGTTAAAACTAAAATTATTGTGTTTTGAATGTATATTTCATACAAATATTTTTTAATCGATATAAATTATTTTCGTATAATTGATATAATATTATAATTATAATAAAAATATTACACTAATAAAATATACTAAACAGTATAGATTTTATATAAATATTGGTATTTTTTTAAATTTAATATATATAATTATAAGTAAAATAAAATACATAACTTTAGGTATAAGTAAAATATTTTTATTGATAATGTATTTGTTATTTAACATAAAACATAATAATAATAATAAATTTAAGGCTAAATAATAATAATATAGTATAACATTAAAAATTATTATTACCAGTATATATTTATATATGAAAAAATAATCACAAATTTTATTTTAATAAATAAAAAATTATTTTATTCTATATAAATGTAATATAAATTTTATTTAAAAAAAACATTATTATTTCATTTATTAAAAAAATATATAACTAAACTATTTTATATTAACTAATTTATAATATTATCGGTACTAATATAATGATTATTATAAAAAAATTATTTACTGCACTTTTTCATCTATACTAATCATTTAATACTAGTCCATCACTTAATTGATATTTTATAAAAAAAAAACACAAACAAAAAATTTCTGTATATAAAACAAATTACAAACTATTCATGTATATGATATACAGACTAAAAAACTATAAAATATATCTATAATAAAAAAATATTATTAAAAATCATTTTTTTTAAAACATAAATCAATTCTGATCCGAGAAAACACCACTTTTTGTCTTCCGATTATCGACGGGTGAAAACATTAGCAAATCATTAGCCGGTGAACAACCACTACTCGGAGGAATGTAACGACAAGTACTGATGTCCAGCACCTGAAATGAGTAGTCATTGATAAACGATGGCCTCAAACGATAGACAGGACTACTACTACTACTACTACTACTGTCATCGACTTGACTGACGGCCGCATTCTTCTGGTCTTCGCTCATATTATCGCCAATAATATCCGGTATTAATCCCAACGATTCTTTAGGTCGACGTTTCGGTTCAAATCGTAGATTCAGTTGCGACAGATCGACAATTCTCGACCGAAACCAGTTACGTCTTTCCTGAATCTCCGGTTTGGCCAACAAAGCCGCCCGTCGTTTAACTGTTAAACCATTCAACTGATCAAACATTGATTTTATCTGATTAGTCGATCCATTCAATTGTTGACTATAGTTGTCAGCTTTGCGACGAAATTTATCGGAAAGTCTTAAAAATTCGTCCAAATTTTCGTTTGAAACTAATATTCAAATTAAATTTTTTTTTTAAATTTTTATAATTATGATATAATCATAAAAAACAAAATAATATACCATTTACTAGACATGACTTATCATTGTTGGCAATACATATCAATTCATTAGCTGTCGTCTCAAATGATGATTTAGTAAACAATTGATTCAAATTAATTGATAACATTTTTTGGCCAAAAATATCGGTTTTCACTTCAAACGCTTTCACATAGTTTTCCCAATTTTTATTAAACAATTCATTCATCGACAGTAATCTTGTGGTCAATGAGTCGACTTCGTGTTTGTATTGTAAGAGTTGTTGACTACAAAACTGGTCAACAATTTGATTGTCATTTAATTCATATCGTTTGCTAATACTATCTATTAGTTCTGTCTTCTGTTGTTGTAAATAATTTAACTCTTGTTTTGTTTTATTATAATTATCGACAAAATACCGCATCTTTTCCATACAATCGGCGGTATCTACTCTGATATCTTCTCTGACAGCATAATACTCGTCCATCAGTTGATTGACATCATTGACAGCAAAATCTTTTTTCGGTATAAACTTGTTGTTGATGTCGGACTCTTCACTATTCATACGTTGGATCTGTTTGGCGATACAATAGTTGGAGAAATCAAGATAAAGATGACAGAGAGTGGTCTCGGGTGTAAAGTGTTGGAAATATACGGCAACCACTTTGGGAAAGTGATAATCTGTTTCCTGTGGGGGAAAAATCAAAAAACAATTTATTAATAACAAACTAATTGATGGATCCATTCATCAAACAAACAAACCTTTAAAGCAATCTCTTGTAACCATTTATAGGTCACTTGTCTGAACTCTCCTTCTTGTTTGCGATCAAACACTGGAAAACAACCCATAAATCGTTTGCGACATTCTTCCGGATTCAACGTCTGAAACAAGTGATAGGTAATCAATTGAAACGATTTTGGTGTCAACTTCTTGAACGTGTTGCTGAAGACGACATCAAACAAACAAAAAATCAATAATAAATTCAGATAAAAAATATATATATAAAGACATCAAAACAAAATACTCATTGATCTCAACTGTGGTCTCTTTGTGCCGGCGAATAAACTCCGGAGTGGACAACAATTTCAAATTGTCGGCCACTTGTCGGCACATTGAATCAAACAAACTGGCCATTGATGTTGTGTCCACCATCGGGTTATTACGGGTTTAGTAGATTGTCACCGAACTAATTCAAATTCAATTAATAATGTTTGTAAATGTTTTTTTAGGAAATATATATATATACAGTAAATATCAATATAAAAACTAACATTAATATGTACTTTAAATAATGACTTAATAAAAATGTGTTTTTAATGATACGGAATATTCTGTAACTGAATTCATGTATTTCTAATATTGAATACAAATTGTATAAAATTTATGCATAAAAAAATAACCTCTAATATCACATTATAATTACTCATAAATAAAATAAATAACTTTAGTTTTAATAAATAATTTTTTTTATTGATAATGTATTTGTTATTTACCATAAAACATAATACTGTAATATAATTAATAATAATATAGCATAACATTAAAAATTATTATTACCAGTATATATGTATTAAAAAAAACAATTACTAATTTCACTTTAATCACCAAATTATGATAGATATATATATATATATAATATAAATTACAAATCACTAGATATTCAAGCATTTCACACACAAACTAAAAAATTACTCAACAAAATAAAATTGAAGTAAAAGTTATATATATAGTGATAAAATAGTGTTTAAATCAATCAATCAAATAGTAGAAATATAATTTAAAATTTTTTTTATAAGATTTATATTTATCACTAAAAAATAATGTGAAAATAAAACTTATATATATAAAAAAAATCAATTGAAAACGTTTTTTGTCTTCCGATTCTCGACGGGCGAAAACAGTCGCGAATCATCCGGTGAACCACTACTCGGTGCGATGTAATGACAAGTACTGATGTCCATCACCTGAAATGAGTAGTCATTGATAAACGATGGCCTCAAACGATAGACAGGACTGTCATCTTCTTGGTTGTTGTTGGCATTCTTCTGGTCTTCGCTCATATTATCGCCGATAATATCCGGTATCAAACCAAGCGATTCTTTAGGTCGACGTTTCGGTTCAAATCGTAGATTCAGTTGCGACAGATCGACAATTCTCGACCGAAACCAGTTACGTCTTTCCTGAATCTCCGGTTTGGCCAACAAAGCCGCCCGACGTTCAACTGTTAAGCCATTCAACTGATCAAACATTGATTTTATCTGTTTTGTCGATCCATTCAATTGTTGACTATAGTTGTCAACTTTGCGACGAAATTCATCCGAAAGTCTTAAAAATTGATGAATATCTTCGTTTGAAACTAAAATTCATATTTGAATTTTAAAAAAAATACAAACAAAACAAGTTTACAATTATGATAATCGTAACACAAAACAAAAATAATGATTATTAATATTATTATTATTAAAAAATAATATACCATTTACTAGACATGACTTATCATTGTTGGCAATACATATCAACTCATCAGCTGTCGTAACGAATGATGATTTAGTAAACAATTGATTCAAATTAATTGAAATAATTTTTTCGCCAAAAACATTAGTTTTCAATTCAAACGCTTTCATATAGTTTTCCCAATTTTTATTAACCAATTCATTGATCGACAGTAATCTTGTGATCAATGAGTCGACTTCGTGTTTGAATTGCAATAGTCGTTGACTGCAAAACTGGTCAACAATTTGATTGTCATTTAAATCATATCGTTTGCTAATACTATCTAATAGTTTAGTTTTCTGTTGTTGTAAACAATTTAACTCTTGTTTTGTTTTATTATAATTATCGACAAAATACCGCATCTTTTCAATACAATCGGCGGTATTTACTCTGATATCGTCTCTGACCACATAATACTCGTCCATCAGTTGATTGATATCATTGACAGCAAAATCTTTTTTCGGTATAAACTTGTTGTTGTTGTTGTGTTGATCATCGCCAGCTGTGGTCATACGTTGGATCTGTTTGGCGATACAATAGTTGGAAAAATCAAGATAAAGATGACAGAGAGTGGACTCGGGTGTAAAGTGTTGGAAATATATGGGAACAACTCTTGGAAAGTGATAATCTGTTTCCTGTGGGGAAAAAACAATTCATTAATAACAAACCAATTGATGGATCCATTCATCAAACAAACAAAACAAAACAAACCTTTAATGCAATCTCTTGTAACCATTTATTGGTCACTTGTCTGAACTCTCCTTCTTGTTTGCGATCGAGTACTGGAAAACAACCCAAAAATCTTTTGCGACATTCTTCCGGATTCAACGTCTGAAACAAGTGATAGGTAATCAATTGAAACGATTTTGGTGTCAACTTCTTGAATGTGTTGCTGAAGACGACATCAAACACACAAACAAACAAACAAACAAAATCAGATAAAAACATATAAAGACATTAAAAACAAAACAAATCAAAAATACTCATTGATCTCAACAGTGGTCTCTTTGTGGCGGCGAATAAACTCCGGAGTGGACAACAGTTTCAAATTGTTGGCCACTTGTCGGCGCATTGTTTCAAACATTGAGGCCATTGATGTTGTGTCCATTACACGGATTACACTTCGGGTTTTGATTGATTGATTGGCCACTAATTGATTGGAAAATTAATTATTATTTTTTGTTAAAATGATAGTTAAATGTGTTATTAAAACAACAAACAAATTGTGTCACAAAATACTTTTGGTTTTTGACAAACAAAATATCATTAAAAACATTTGGCGCTAAAAATATTTTTTTTATATAATAATTATTATTATTATTTCAACATATAATACGTATAATTAAATACTATATAATACTAATAATAGTTTAGTTATTATGTTATAAAAATATTTATTTATTTTATTTTTTTCAATATTTAGTTAATTGATTGTAACAATAGTGAACAAACAAAAAATAAATAAATATTTAATATAAAACTAATGTTAATAATATTTGAAATATTTTTCTTATTATAATTTTTATGTATTATATACTAAATAATTATTTTAAAAAAAAGTTTTTTTTTCAATTTGTTGTCGTAATTGACTTACACTTGAAATAATTGCATAATAAATATATTTATATATAAATCTATGTTTTTTTATTATTATTTTGTACTTTAAATATACACTGTTTTATACGTACTGTAATATACAGTATAATAATATAATAAAAACAATTTAATAATACTGTAATCATATATAATATATATATAAATAAATAGTAAACTAAACACTAAGTCACGGGTTATTATCATATTATTTACAGTAAGTTATTGTCTATTAATTAATTAATTAATTAGTTATTAGTTTATATTATTGTTAATTAATTGTTAAGACAGTTAAGGACTCAGGAAAAACTTGAAGACATATATTAAAATATCACCAAACAATTGATCCCTAAAAAAATTGATAGTTATTGTTGTCGACGATCGTCAAGACTGGTAATATCGGGTCTGTAACTGTCGTCATAACCAACTGTTACCAAATGGCCGGTTACGACAAATCTATTTTTGTATCGTTGCCGCTGACCATCGAGGAAGAGCTGACGTAAGTGTTGATATCAATTGGTGATCACTTTTTTAATGATAAATATAACAATTGATCTCTGATTTTCACACCACACAACCAGATGCGCCATTTGTCTGAATATATTACGCGATCCGATGACCACACCGTGTTGTCGGCACTCGTACTGTCGCCAATGTATACTAAGATCGTTGGAAATGTCGTCCAATCCGCGGACGTGTCCGAATGATCGGCAAAAATTGTTATCCAAAGATCTGATTGTTGCGTCCCGTGTTATAACCAATATACTCGATAAGCAAGAAGTTTACTGTGATTTCAAATCGATTGGTTGTCCACAGACTGTCCAATTGGCACAACTGGCCAAACATGTGATAGAGTGTTCATTTGATCCAAACAAAGTGCCCCACAAGTGTACACAATTGTTGGCAAATGTTAGCAATAGTGTCGATAAACTTAAGGATAAAATCAGACGCCAAGAGTACGAACATCTAAGAAAACAGGTTAAGGCCTGTCAACATCAGGTGAAACTGATGGCCGCTCAGGGATTGAAACAATTAGTTTATGTCGATCCAGACAGTGATGTATGAATCAATTGTTTGTCTAATTTGTATTAACAGGTTTTTATCTCTCTCTCTCTCTCTCTCTCTCTCTCTCTCTCTTTAAAGGTTTTCAAAAAGAAAGTACTGGAATCGGCTAAGACTAATGTCGAAAACTGTGTCGAAATTGAATGCAATGCCGAAAAAGGTATTAAGAAAAATGTGATCAAAAAGTGTAAGGAAGCCATCCGTCAGAGCAATGATTATAACCAAATCGGACAGTATTTGGTCGACTGTCTGAACACTGGTGACTACGGTTGGAGTATTTATGTTGCGCCGAAACAGTCGTCAGCGTTTCATGCGGTAACTAATTTTGTCGATAAAATTAGCTTACATTTTGGCGATCTGGCCGTACTAGTGGTCAGCCATCAGATTGCCGATTATGATGAAGACGACGACGATGATGATGGCGATGAAGACTTTGGCCTCAATCACTACTATGATTATTCGGATCCGTTAGAAGATGATGATGACGATGACGACGACGATGATGATGATGATGACGGTGTGGATGCATATGTGGGCGGATATTGACAGTTACTTAAAGGTCTCTAAAAAAAAAAATTTTTTAATTGTTTGTATCAATAATATCAATAATAATAGTAAATATTTATCAAATTTATAATCAAATAATTATCAACAAAAAAAAAAGAAAAGTTTTTGTATTATACAGTATAACAACAAAATCTTATGAAAGTCTATATTTAAAAATAAATAATATTACATTTTTTTGCATAATATAAATATATATATTTATAATATTTAAAAATATTTGCCGGTATTTTTTTTACAAATTATAATGTTTAATATTATTATTACCGGTATATTTAAAAAAAAAAAATAATTGCCAAATTTTTATAAATCCGATTACCTAATAAATAAATATTTTATCACTAAATTTTATCGATATATTATTATAATTATTTAACATTACGGTACACTTGAAAATGCAATACTAAATACAATCGTAAATTATGAAAAAATATATTGAAATAATATATATATATAATTGATATAATAATAATATATATTTACCGGTAATATAAAAAAAATAAAGTATCAAATAAATAATCCGATTGTTTAAAATAATTAAAAACTTTTTTTTTATTCAATTAATTTTATATTAAAATTGTGACCAAAAACTTTCATTTTTTTTTTATAAGCAAATTGAGAGATGATTTTCAATTAATAACATTTAAAACACACAAACAGAAAATCATTGGTTGCTATAAAATTGGCATTTTTTTCTAAAAAAAAAAACAATGAGATAATTATATCTAAATAATAATAAGTTAAAAATGGCATTAATTATACGTTTTTAAAAAAAACTGTTTAAGAGATATTTTTGTTTTAAAAACAAAACAAAAAAAACATATTTACAACAAAAAATATATATATATATACTATATTTATATGAAACAACAATTAATTGATTAATAACTATCTATAACTAAAATTATTAAAGATTAATAATAATATTAAAAATTAGTACATAAAATCTATTTACAATAAAATTCAATTATTTTTTTTTCTTAAAAAATTCAATAATAAAACAACAATAAAAATGTTTAAACAATTAGTTAAAAACAACTTCACCACCACTACGACTGCCGTTACCCTACTATTACTCTTCAGGGCCGCTATGAATAGTTTGTGTGTAATAATAGTTTTGCGGTACAAACGGTGCCGAAAATGCCGACAATGTGGACATCAATTTCGATTTAACTACTAATTGATGGACACAGTTATTATGGGATTCGGAGGCGGCCACTGTCGTCATCGTCGAAGCCGCCGATTGGACACTGGCCTGTCGTTTGCGGCGCATCACTGCATGCGACAGACAGACAATACATTGGACATTGCATTCGACATACGAGTTGACTAAATGCATCTCTTTGTGGACGACTGTCTTGACGTGCGGCGGCAAACATACGCCGCCGTGACTGATGGATCGTTCGCGACGCCAGATCTTGTGGTCGGGCAGACAGTACTTCATGATGGCATCGCAACAGACGTGATTGACAGCTGCCCTGAAGTTCATCTGATGCCAGAGTTTGTCTCGTTTGCGTAGGAATAGCCGATGTTTGCTTTCGGTAACCGTATCGGACATTGCAAACCGTACCAAATCCAGCTTCATGTCCAGGTCATCCTCTTCCATATCGTGGGCCAGATATAAGGCTACCATCAGATAGACGGGTGTAAACTGTTGGTGCCTTAGACCAGCCCTCTTGAAATAGGTCAGAGCCATTGCCAGCAGATATTTGTCGGCCAATAGACAACATTTATCCCACAGAAGTAGTTCTTCGACTAACGGTTCCTCAAGTAGTCGTTTGAATGTATAGATGTCTTTCTTGGTCAGTGCAAAGTCCTGATAGTCGCCAACCATTGGCACCACTGAACTGTTGTTGTTGGCCGCCACTGATGGACTACTCGTTGCTAGACTAGATGGTCGGCCCGACGATAACGACGACGACGAAGACACCGCCGCCGCCGACAACAGCAACTGTTGCGCTGAATAACTGTTTGGATTGTTGTTGTTGTTCTGGTTATGGCTGTAATTGCATGTATGGCTAGTAGTATTGTGGATCAATTGTGGACCGATTGTTGACCAATAGCTATAGCTGTTGGTCAGCAGCTGCTGCTGATGCTGTTGATGGCAGTGGGAGTGCGGTTCAGATGATTGTTGAGACCATTCGTTGCTAGTATTGGTGTTGTTGTTGTTGTTGTTGGTGTCGATGACAATACCGTAATCGGTGACCAATCGGTTGATCATTACTTGAGACATGACTACTACTACTACTACTACTACTACTACTACTAGTGATGAATGGATGGATGATAATGAAGACACACACACACTGTTTGGACAGACAGTCAGTCAGTCAGTGAATGCAAATGTAATGTTTGGCTAAAAATTTATTTTTCAGACGTTTTTTTGAAGCCAAACGTTTGGTTCGAATGGAACGCATAGTCAGTCAGTCTATGCGCTTAAAAAAAAAAAAATAAAATAAAAGCATAACAAACAAACAGACGAACCAATACATAGATAGTACTAATAGAATAGTCCAATAGTGAGAGGGCGTCAAACAGTCTATATATTCTAATATACATTATATATATAATGCTTTTTTCTCTATAACAATATATTTGCCATACGATTGCATTGTATTTTACTTAAACACATGGCTTATAGTACAGTACATGTATATCACTGCTTATACAGTACTTTATATAAGTTATATATTTTAATGGCTATATAAAAAAACACGTGCATTGCTATTGCCTATTGATTTGTGTGTGTGTGTGTGTGTGTGTGTGAAAAATGTGTGCAAAAATTATATACCGGTATATATTTTTTTTGCCTAAAACTATACAATAAATACTAAAAAAAATTTTTTATAAAAAATATACATTAAATTATATTAAAAATTTTAAACATAACTTTCAAACACTAATACATTGGAAAAACTTTTTATTAATTGTTTTTTTTTGTTGGTTTGATTTAAATAAATTAATAGGATTTTAATATTAGTTTTTTTGGACTTTTACTAATTACTGTATTTACCGGTAATTTAATTTAAATTAAAAAAATAATAATAAATTTACATTTAATTTTTAGATTTAAATTTTATTGTAATTTTTTTTTTGGGTACTGTAATTAACAACATATATAATATATTGCATACATATATTTATCATTAATTACATACACATATTTATTGTACATATTTTTTGTTTTTAAATTTGATTTTTTTTTATCAATTATACCCTACATTGAAATTTTGCAAAATTTCTAAATATAATTATTATTAGTTAATTAATTAATTAATTAACAAAAAAAAAGTTTTACATAACAAACACTTTTTCGGCTTCTTTGATGTCAAACACATCCTTAGTTCGCGGACAAGTTATGCGACCATTATTATCGATGGCCATCACTTTGAGTGATTGTTCGCCGTAGACGTGGCCATTGGGCAACACAAGCGGCAGATTGTGCTCATTGAGCGGTTGGCCAGATATGGTACAAACGAGTCGCGACTGCGAACAGTGCGAATACGGCAAATGTGCGGCCAATTTATTAAGCAGTTCACTGCATACGGGACAGTCACCGTTTTTGGTGCCATCTTTCTTGTAGCAAATCGGTGTCTTAATAGCGGATAGGCCGGCCTGTAGTGCTACCGAAAATACCGATGATGTACTCAACTGATACAGTTTGAAGTTGTCGTTACGAAACTGTTCAATAATTTGGTCCCAACGGCTTTCGTCGAACAAACACTTGTACGGTTCGACCACTGTATCGGCGGCAAAGGCCAACAAACCCATTACACGCTGTAGGTCTACATTCTGGCCGACGGACTGCTGTTGTTGTCCCTCTTCAACACTATTGAAATGTTTGCGCGCGTGATGTACAGCCTCCAGACGCCTGTTCTTGCGAACCAATTCAATGAACTCTTGTTGTCTGAGTTTTATCTCCAGTGTCGACTTAATCTTCCGGAGCTTCGACTTGTTGTCGTGACACCAACTAAGACAACGTGATGTTTCGCGTGCGCGCAGCGAATCTTCTACTTGTCGACTAATCAAAAACAGATCGATATTTGTTAGATCTTCGATCTGCGAATGTATAGCCAAATTGATGGCCGATTCGTAATAACCGGATCGCAGAAAATGGTCGACAAGCATACGATCCATGCGTTTCTTTTTCCATTGAGTTATAGCCGTTTCGTTTGAATTGGTTTTCAGACAATAGTCTTTCAAATGTTCTAAACGTTTCTTACAGACATTGGCCGCGTCTAACTCATCCGTCAGGCTTTCGTGCGATTTGCGCTTAAGTATCTGCAATTTGCTGACCACACCATTAAGCAGATCATTGATCGAATTGATGGTTATGGGCGAGTCGGGTGTGGCCCGATTGCGAACCGATCGTTCCAGTTCGCTCACCGATGTCTGTACGTGCGATATCTCGCGGTCGACATTCTTCTGGGCCGACCGAAACTTTTTGTTCAGTATCTCGTAGGGAACCTTCAGTGTCTGGTGTTCCATGGCTTTCAGGTCGGTCATCTGTGGCTGGCCGGTACCGATACCTAAACCGCCAATACCGCTGGCACCAGTCGATGACGATCTCTGTCGCTGTTGTTGCTGCTGTTGTTGTTGGGCAGCCATTGTTGACCACGAAGACGATAGTGATGTACTGCTGTCCGATACCGAAGTGGTCAGTCTAAGTACTTCCGATGCAATACTATGATGGACAGCAAAACTCATTGCAATATATATATATTATTTTTGAAGTTTTGTTTGCAATTTAATTGCAAATATCAGCCACAAGTGGGTGAGTGAATCAATGAGTGAGTGAGTGAGTAAGTGTGTGTATGTGTGGGTGAGTTTGTTTTTGTGAAGCAAATAATATAGTGTGTGGGTTAAGGGAAAAAAAGTATATGATATCTGATATATATATATTGAAAGTGTAGACACTATAGGATTGTAGTGATAATTGATTTATTATTTTTTTTTTGGTAGTCTATTGATAGAGAGAAAACAAATCTAAAAGACATTAAACATATCAATAAGTCAAGTGATATAATAATAATAATAACTATTAAATACAATTGAAATAAAAAGTTAATTAAATATAACAACAAAAAAAATCACACATAATATGTATGTATACTTACAATAATTGAGATATCAATCAATTTTCAATTAAATTAATTCACAACAATATTAATTATTATTATTATTATGATATATCGTATCATATGATAATAAATTTAATATATTTACACAAATAATATCTACAGTACAGTACATATGATATCATATAATAATATGACATCAAACTAAACAACAACAACAAAAAATCATTGACTTTTATGATATGATATATAAATACAACTCAATAATAATAATGGACTCAATATATGAGTCTATCGATTGACTTTTAAAAACATATGATATAACTATTAATATATAATATAATAATAATTACAGTTTTTAAGCTATGATTTTGATATATGATATTATTATTATTAGTCATATAAAATATTTTGTGACACAATTATATATATTTTTAAATATACAGTAATATATTAATACATATGTCACATATCATCAATAAATTGTGAGAAAAAAATAGTAGTTTTTTCACCAAAAAATAAAAATAATAAATGATTTTTATTTGATTATTATTAGGTATTATCACTCACAATGTATTACTACTGTATTATGTGTTATACTGTAAATACATTTATTATTATTACTTATATATTAAATAAATTTACTACAAAAAAAACATAGCTATTAATCAATAATAATAATAATAATAATAATAACGAGTCACACATATATTACATGACAGGTTAGGAAAAATTTTATTTTATTTTTTTACAAATATATGATATAAAATACAATCACTTAAAGTATTGATAGAAACATATATATATATATCAAAAACTTTGATAGCAATTATTATATGTATTACATAATGTTTTTTTTTGTTGTTTGTTGTTTGTATTACACAGTATTGGAAAAAACAAATTTTCAATTATATATAATAATAATGAATCTAAAATATGCATTCAATTTGAACACACATTTGATAGTACAGTATTAATACAGTGTATTAAAACACACACACAGTGTGTGTACAAACGCATGCGCACAAACAATGTGCGGCATTATACAAGCTATACACTGTACTACAACAACACACAACACTACACAACACAAAACAATAAATTGTTTGATGAGTTTTAATACAGTATTTTAGAGATAGTATAGCATAGCATAGCGTAAGCATAGAGAGAGAGAGCAACAAAAATAAAATAGACATTCAATTCAATTTGAATTGAATAACACACACAACAACACACACACACACTATACAGTAGTATTAATAATAATAATAATAATATAATACATAAGCAATGCTATGGACAGCACTGTTATGCTCCTCTCTCTCTCTCTCTCTCTCTCTCTCAGTGTGTGAGTATATGTGTGAGCAGTGAGTGAGTGACTTAAGTGCTGGGATTTGCCTTTACTACTACTATTGAAACCATTGGCACTGTTATACTAGCACTGGTATAGCAGCAGCAATAGTAGCAGCACTGGTACCTACAGTGTGGTAGTATTAGTAGGTAGTATAGACTGAGAGAGAGTGTGGTGGTATATATGAGAATAGTTGGTTGTTTAGTGTATGTATGTATGTGTAAGAGTACTGTATATTTTTATTACTACAACTATAACCTAATGGTGTGTTTTCTGTGGCAAAATGTCGGACAAACCACTCTTTGTTTGAAAACGCCGTATAAATTGTTTTCATTTGTTTTGTTTGTTTGTTTTTTTTCGGCAGAAATAAAACAAATTTCAGATTTCAGATGACATAACAATTAAATAACTAATTGTGTCATCAGTTTGTCTCTCAGATTAACTAATTATAAGTTTGTGCTTAAAAAAAAATATAATCTAAATATAAGTTGAATTGATTGTCAAATATATAATAATAATAAAATAGTTTTTTTTTACAAAGTGTTGTTGTGTTGTGTTGTATATGTGTGTTGACTGTGTGTTTGATTGATTGATAGGTAATACTGTCTCTTCAATAACTTCAATAACCGATAATTACAACCAAATCAAAAATAGCGTCGATATCGTCATCGATTTCTTCATCGCTGCTGTCATCGCTGTCGACATCGGGTGTAGCGTTGAATCCATCACTGTATCATTCGTTACAATCAGCGATACCGACGACCAACCAATCATCGACGATGGACAAGAAAAAACCGTTGAAAAGGCCGCGAATGGACGGTCCGAGTATGTGTCCGTTAATACACGATAGTGTTTTTTTTAGTGGACAACACGCGCGCGCGCTCGCGAGTGTTGTGGATCCACCACTTGTTGATACCATTTTGTTGTTGTTGTTTGATCTAATAGTGTCTTTTATTTTTATTCCCAACCAGTCGGTGCTCGCAGTGGACCGATTGCCAACGGCCCGATGCATGCCCGGCCATTGGTGGCCCTGTTGGACGGCCGGGATTGTTCGGTAGAGATGCCGATACTGAAGGACGTGGCCACTGTTGCCTTCTGTGACGCCCAGTCCACACAAGAAATACATGAGAAAGTGTTGAACGAAGCGGTTGGTGCACTCATGTGGCATACAATCACTTTAACTAAAGAAGATCTCGAAAAGTTTAAAGCCCTGAGAATTATTGTCAGAATCGGTTCCGGTGTCGACAATGTCGATATCAAAGCTGCCGGAGAGTTAGGTCAGTACTACTACTACTACAACCATTGTCGGCACTGTTTGTTTTTTTTCTAATAATTAATCAGTCAATCAGTTAGCAATCAATCGGTGACAACACATATAATCGGATGTATTTTTGTTGTTGATTTAGTTATAGTTAGAGTTAATTATATATATATTGTTAGCTTTTATTTTATTTTTTAATACACCAATTCATACACACAGTTTTGCGTCATTTTATTATAATTTTTTAAATGATAATATATGGTATATTACCGGTTGTTTTTGTTTGTTTTTTTTAATGGTTTCACTGAACTAACTGTTAATTATAGCATTTTTTTTGTTGGTTTGTTAACTATGTTTTAGTTGTGAAAGAGAGAGAGAGGGAGAGTAACAGAAAAGTTCAAAGTTTATAATGTTTTGATTTACAAAACAAGTGTTAGTTATCATTGACACTATGATAAGTGTTTTATCAGTTTATTACTATATATATATATATATATTAATTAATATTAGTAATAATTGCATAAATTTTATCAACAATTTAATGCTTATTATTAAATATAACTGTAGTTTAAGATTATATGTAATATTAATAATAATCTGTTTTATTATCGTTGTTGTTGTTGTTGTAGGAGTGGCCGTTTGTAATGTTCCCGGCTATGGTGTCGAAGAAGTAGCCGATACAACATTATGTCTGATATTGAATTTATATCGACGAACCTATTGGTTGGCGAATATGGTCAGAGAAGGAAAGAAATTCCAGGGACCCGAACAGGTGCGCGAAGCCGCTGCCGGTTGCGCCCGCATTCGTGGCGATACACTCGGCATTGTTGGATTAGGTATGGGTCAGCATTTATTTTCTATCATTATTATAACCAAACACTTGTCATTTGTTTTTCTAAATTTGTTTTTTTCTCTTTTGTTTTGTTGACAATTGCCGACAACACACCAACCAACAGGTCGTGTGGGAACAGCTGTCGCATTAAGAGCAAAAGCTTTTGGATTTAATGTCATATTCTACGACCCGTATCTTCCGGACGGCATCGAAAAGTCGTTGGGTTTGACCCGAGTTTATACACTCCAAGATTTGCTCTTTCAAAGCGATTGTGTATCACTTCATTGTACTCTTAATGAACACAATCATCATCTCATTAATGAATACACAATCAAACAGATGCGTCCGGGTTTGTACTCATTATTATTGTCTAATAATTTATTGATGTATTTAAAATAATAATTAATTTTTTTTTTGGTAATATTTGTTTTATAGGTGCCTTTTTGGTGAATACAGCACGAGGAGGACTGGTAGACGAGAATGCCTTAGCGGCTGCACTAAAGGACGGCCGTATCAGAGCTGCAGCACTTGACGTTCACGAGAGCGAGCCATTCAATGCCTTGTCGGGTATGGATTGTTTGGTTACTGTTTTTTTCTCTCTCTGATTAAAAAATATTTCCGCCTCATTAACCCATTAACTAATTATTTAGTAGTTGTAGTAATACATAATCATCTAACAGTCTATTACATTGAAAAAACAGTTATCAAAAGTTTTTTTTTGTTAACTAACCATTTCATTATCATCTGATCTATCGTTTAGGATAGGTCTAGACTCTAGACTGTTGTATATTGATTAGTAGTTTAGATATATATATATATATATTGTATATATTTATAATGTGTTTGTCAGTAATGTAGTAGTGGTAGTGTCTCCTATTATCACATGTTTATGGTGTGTGTGTGTGTGTCTGCTTAATGTTATGCACCGGTATCTTAAATGACTACAAAAAATACTAACTACCGTTTCTCTGTTGGTCTTAATAAGCAGATTCCCCGAACGTGATCTGTACGCCACACGCCGCCTGGTATTCGGACGCCTCGTCGACCGAACTGCGAGAGATGGCCGCTTCGGAGATTCGCCGGGCAATTGTAGGCCGTATACCCGATTCACTACGAAATTGTGTCAACAAGGAATATTTTGTTTCATCTAATTATGGCGAGAGTATTAACGGTGCCGGCAGTGCATACAACTATACCGGACCCATAGTTCCACATTCGACAACATTAGAGCCGCTGCCGGCGCCCGGTTCGGTGCCGACATCACTATCTTCAGCGCACGCCACACCACACTCGACATTACAAGACAATGCCGGCAATCATTTGACACCCAAACCAGAAAGTTCTGAAGTTCATTGAAATTTAAATTTAAAAAAAAAAGAAATAATACGACAATAACTACTACTACAACAACAACAACAAACAAAACACAGCAACAAAATCATTAATTAATTTTCAATTTCTCTCTTTTTTCAACAAAAAATCAATTTATTATTATTATTATCGACGACTACTACTACTACTATCTGTATTTACTTTATCCTCCAATTAATTAAGTAATTATAATTAGGTTTAATAACCACATTACATAGCTTTACATTTTTTATTTTATTATTATTATTATTATTTTCGAATAATTGCTTTATATAAAAAATAGAAAAAATTGCTGAAATTTATTAAAGAAAACATTACACATACAAACTAAACAATTTTGAAAACTTTTTTTTTTAATTTTTTTGATCAAACAAACTATACGACAATATTATTATGATTTGGTTATAATTTTAGTTTTGGGGGAAATGTATGTTTTATTTTTCAATGTTATTATATTCATTAATATACATAATTAAATATACACACATACATACACACTGTTTGTGCTATACATTTATTATTATTATTATATATAAATCTACATTGAGTTTAATGTTTTTCTTTATTTAAACAAACAAAAAATTTAAAAAATAAACGATATTTTATCGTAAATTTTATTGTGAATCAAAAAATATAATAATAATAATAATATGACAGAAAAAAATATGTTTGGCATTACATCTCTATAATTATTATTAAAAGTAAACAAAAAATAATGATGAATAAATTTTTATCAAAAAAAAATAGTAATTTTAAATGATTAACGAATGTTATATTATATATAAAAATATATATAATATATATATTTATATTTTAAAAAAAACTCGAAGACGACGACTAAAATAATATTGCATTTTTCAAAAAAAAAAATAATTTTTTTAATTAATGAAAATATCTACTAATAATAATTAATTAATTAATTAATTAATAGTTTGTCAAATCCAAGCTATCGCTGAAATTACCCAATATTTTTGTTGTTTGTTAGACGTAAAAGTAATTTAAATGCGAGTATTATATTTAAAAAAAAAACAAAATTTTTTTATTATTAACTAATTGATCAAACAATTGAATTGATTGAAACAAAATGAAACGAAACGAAAAAATTTTATCATTCAAAATACATATATAATAATAATAAATATATTTAAATATATATATATATATATCTATTGAAACTCTTTTTTTTAAATCATTTAAAAATGGGTTTTTTTAGTGATTATTTTAAGAAAAAAAAACAAAAATCATTGATTGATTTCTCACTTTATTTCCTCTCATTCCCTCTCAATATAAAAAATTAATGAAATAAAAAACTGATTTTTTCAGAACTTTAAACTCGAAAAACATTTTTATATATACAGTATATAATAATAAAATAAATTGAAAGAAAATCAAATAAAATCAAATTCAAACTCTCAAGGCTTAAAAATATTTGTTATTATTATTATTATAACATAATTATTATATTATATAAAAATTACTTTCTATGATATAAACACTATTTAAAAAACATAAAACACATTTCTCTTTATTTATATTATAATATTTTGAATACATTATTATTATTATTTTAGTTTTATTTATAACTTATTTTTTTCTGAATCACTGTTTTTTCTCAGAAAGTGAAAAAAATTTACTATATTTTTGTTTGTTTGTGATTGCATTTCAAAAAAATCATTTCATACTATTTTATTTTTCGTTGAAAAAAAGCATTATTTGTTTTCTCAAAAAAATTAATTAAAACAATAAAATAAATTAAGTATTTTTGTTTGAATTATTATTTATAAATTTTTTGTAGTTGTTGTGGTTGTTTCAATTAGATTTAATATATATATTTTATAATATAATTAATATAATATATACTGTATATACTAATGTAATTTTTATTTTTTATATACAGTTAGATATTTATATTATATAAGTATTTAGTGATGAATATACAGGTAAATTTTTATTGCCTATAATTTACTTACACACACACACACACACACACACACACACACACACACACACACACACACACACACACACACATGTATTTTACTATAACTAACTGTACAGGTATTATACAATAATTTATTTTTTTGATGACATGAATGAAGTATTGTATATATACTGTACAGTATATATAAAAAAAATTATTCAATACTTTAAATATGTTAGTAATTAATTATATAATCGATTTGATATTTTTTTAATATACATATAAAATATATCATTAGTTGAAAAATATGATATAATACTGTTGTATATACTGTATATATTGCCTAATAATTTACGAGCTTTTAAATTGATTTATACATATGTATTGAATTATTTTCAACAACAAACAAACAAACATATTATATATATATTTCCTATTTGTTATTTTTGGTATTTCCCTAAATTATTTCCCAATGCTTGAATTATAATTATAATTTTATTTGAAAATTATTTAATCGACAAAAAAATATAGACATTTATTAATATAGCAAAAAAAATAAATAAAAATAATAATCAATTGATTTTTTCCATAATAATAAAAAAGCTCTAAAACAATCAATTTAATCATAAATTTTTGTTAAAAAAAGTTTTATTTATATGTGTTTATCCAATCGGGGAGGGGGGAGGGGGCTCCCTGTCCACCACAATGTTACTGTTTTGGAAATGTCTACCAACTTGACCACTGGTCACTTTTTTGTGTCCCGCTTCCCACTTGGGTATCGGGGGGGGGGGGGGGGGGGGGGGGGAGTGGGCAACAATTTATTAATCACTATTGGATATCAATTATTATTTAATTAAATAGTAATATTAAAAATTGATAATAATTTATTATTATATCATAATTTACATTAAGTTTATACAGTAATATAAAATGTGATGTAATTTATTGTTTTAATGATAATAATAATATTATTATACAGTAATAGATGTCTCAACAAAACACATGTTTTTTTTACTATTACTGTAATAATAATTAATATTTTAGTTTCATTTAAATTCAATTCAATTGAAATGTTTTGAATAAATTAAAAAAAAAAAAATTTGTTTTCATTTTACCGAAAAAAAAACTGATCACCGATTGATTGTTAGCATCGATAACAGCATCCGTGACACCACTGATGACCACAAGACTCATACAGTCGACTGTCAGAGACAAACGTTTGGCCGCCGAAATGTCCCACTGGTGTCGATTGTTGGCCAATAGTGGCGCCGGCGGTTGTGTTGGTGGCCATCAACGTCTTATGTGTTGCCGAAGTATTATTGGTCGGCAACACCAACAACAACAACATCGGCACAGTTTATGTCGGCAATTGTCGACAACAGCCAAGTCGTCGCCGGCGTCGGCGTCGGACACAACAGCAAACCCGTCACAGCCGATGATTACCGACGAAGTGTTTGAAGAAAGACGCTATTCGGGCGAAACCAGATTTTCGATGCCGAAAGCGCTGGACATTAAGCCAATACAGTCGTTAGGTTTGCGGTCGACGATCGAAAAGATAATCAAATACGAGTCGTTTATTGAGCGGTCATTTCTCGGCGAATTCGACAAAGACTTTCTGTCGTTTCCGATTCTGTTGAAAACGCGTCAAGAGTTTATCGAAATGACCGATCAGTACGAAATGGTTAGACAAACGTTTGCTAAGATGCGCAAAGACGACCAGACACTGGAAACGCTGGCCTTTAAGTCGCTATACGAACTATCGGTAAGCGAAATGATGTTTGTCTTCGAGGCCATCGGTGCTTCAAATCAACAGCGGCTGTCATCGTTCGGTACCGTCAGTGCCGAAGATCGGCGACGACTCAATCCTATCAATGATATCAATAGACTTTTGTCGACGACTCCCGAAAATCAGTTAACAGTGGAATCGTTGAATGAGAAGAAAACGTTTATCGAAGAAGTTGTGCCATTGATTATACACAACGCACTCACCTATTATGCAGTCTATACGTCATCTAATGTTAGCCTAAGAGATGAGATTTTAGAGACGAAACCGAAAATTGGTTTTGCATTTTGCGAACCAAACGATCACTTGGGATCACTTCCGTACATTCATTGGGAAAGTCAAGCAAAACTGTCCAATTCGGCCGATTCCTGGCTTATCAGTGGTTCAAAGGGACGTATTCTCAAAGATAATTACGATTATTATATGGTTTTTTGTCGATCGGACGAATTTCCCGAAGAATCCGATATCAAACGTATCAATCAGTACGGAATTGTTACTTTGTTGGTACCGAAAGATCAGGTTATCATTGAAAACGATGGCACCGATAGCTATGGTTTTGAGTATCAACGGATCCGATTCAATGATCTACTGTTGTCTCGAGAAAAACACGAACTAATTAAATCCGAAGAGAAAGCAACGCTAGCTTTGAATGTGAAAGCCTGCGGACAGTTGGCCTCGAGTGCTATAATACTGGGTATTTTGAAACAATTGTTGCGAAATACCTATAATTTTGTGGTCAACGAACGGGTCGGACTATCCGAGTGCGATATCATACAGAAAATACTGTCGGAAAGTACGCAAAAGATTTACGCCATCGAATCGATGCTGTATTTGACGGCTGCTATGTTCGACTCGTTTGAAACCGGATCTGATATGACATTGGAATCGATTGCCGTCAAGACTAAGGCCACCGAATTCGGTTACGATGTAATCAAGAATTTGCGATCGATTTACGGCTCCCGATATCCGGTGTCGTCGACAGCTCACGACTTGATCAACGTTTTCGACTCGTTTCTTGACTGTTCAATCAATAACCGTATGTATCTGGCCTTACGCGGTGTCCGAATGCATGGCCAATGGAATCACGACCACATTCGCCGTATGCGATTGTCGCCACTATATCCAG